CTAACATATTTATGTAGAATTATTACAGTATATCAGGATCTTGCAAAATTTTGATGCTGAACAGCCTTATGAACATGCTGTCAATTATCTTATAACCCTATTAACAAAGCAAACTTGGCTCAACAAAGAATACCTGGAAGCTACTATCTGTAAGCATAAAAGAGAACTTGTACTTTTACGTTGTTCTTGTAAAAAATTATTTTTTTTTCTTTTTTTTCTAAATTACTTTTAGTTTTTAGCACGATTACAGCGCATATTAATGATATACAGCACATATACATAATATTTCTATGATATATTTCTGATTATATTATTTATTCTGTGATAGATTTAAATGTCGAGGGACTCCAGCAGTTTATACCACAGCTACTCAGTAAGGTGCACGTCGAGTGCTTAATACATGGTAATGTGACTGTAACGGAAGCTACAGATATACTTAAACTAATTGAGTCTAAGTTGACAACTGGAGTGCCCAACATAATACCCTTGTTAGAACAGCAACTAATATTGCCCCGTGAAATTAAATTAGAAAATGGTAAGTATATAACATGACCAAATTTCATTTATCATAATTTGAAAAAATTAATATGCTTATGCCGATTGCACTAACGATACTTTAATCTTCTCGCGGAATAAAAAGAAGATAGAACTCAAAAATTGAACATAGTCTTAAAACACGGATTCGAAAAATGTACATCGAGAATATTAAAGAAAAAGTTGAAAATATTATCTGAACTGCATGATGATGTGCACTACACATATACACATATGCACATTTTATTTTTGTTACGCAAATCCTAATTTATATAAAAAGTTACACTATTTGATTAAAATGTGAATGGATCAATAAGCTCAATATTTCAAACATCTGATATTAGTGAGCGCACACGAACTGTTGGAAAATCTTCTAGTTCACAGTTTTTCTCCGACCTTTACTCGGTTTACTCGGATCTGTTCTTCGGAAAATCATCTTCTGATTTTCCGAAGCTTCAATCGACCCTTTTTTAAAACCGGCTGCTTTAATGTAATCTCCTTTCTACTCCATGGATTTTTTAAAAACCGAGGGAGAAGTAGAGAAATCTAAGTTCCTTACTTAGAGTTAAAGTAACGTTGGTATAATTGGCCATTAAAGAATTTGAACAGGAAAAATTTTATTATTTTCTAATAATTGCGTATAAATGCTAGATTTATTACAGAAAAAATTTTTAACTATGAAAATAAACAACCTAATCTATTTTAATACAGAAAAGAAATATATAAAGTATATTCCTTTTTTATATTCAAAAAGATTAAAATAGAAGTAACACAAAATTAATTGTTATTGAAGTCATTTTTTTATTTATAATAAAATTTTTATCTTAGAAATAAAATTAGATTTTAAATTAATATTGTTTATATGATGTAGTATGCAGCAATTTGTAACAGTATGTCATATGTTTTTACAGGTTGCCATTTTCTGTTTGAAGCAGAAAATAATTTTCATAAAAGTTCTTGTACATTGGTATATTATCCAACTGGTTTACACTCAACAGAGTCAAATATGCTGTCAATGCTCATAGCGCAAATTATTAAAGAACCTTGCTGTAATACTTTAAGAATTAATGAGCAATTAGGCTATATAATATTTAGTGATATACGTAGATCGATTGGAATACAAGGCTTGCAAATCGTTGTACAAAGCAATAAACACCCGCAATACATCGAAAAACGAATCAATTTATTTTTAGACTCCATGTTGGTAAGTATAATCATATCTTATGTAGTAAAAAATATTGTGTATTTGTGTGAAATCCACTTATGTTCTTGTTAATCGTTTGTGTTAAATTTTTTAACATATTCGTGTGTTAATATAATATAACGATTATGTTATTTAAAAATGTTGTGTTAAATTCATATTTAATGTTTCTTAGTATGTTTCTTACCAAAATGACATAATTTATCAGTAAGTCAACAAGTACCGTAAAAACAATGTATTTTAAAACCCAAAATGACTGAATGAAATTCTAGTTAATTTAATATATCAGAAATGTAAATTATACTAAAAAATATACCTTTGTTTATAATCTGTGTCAATATTAAATTTATAAGTATCTTTTTTATAATTGTTTTTTAATGGATAATGTCCGTGTTGTTTTCTACCACGTTCATCTTATGTTAAATAGTCACAAAAATTTGAGTGAACTGTTTGAAACACATAACATGTGATATATACAATAATCCAATCGATTCAAACTTCTCAACAATGTACAAAATAGTAGTACATATTAATGCATTGATTAATGAAACTACATTTTCTTTTCTTACATTTTTCACACAGTATCGTATAATATCATAATCAATTATATTACTTTATGTTTTTATGTGATGAATATATTTCTGTATTTTTGTTAAAGTGAATATTACTAATAATTAAATTCCAGAATCACATATCTACTATGACAGAAGAACAATTTGAAGAACATAAGAAAGCTTTAGCTATATTACTTTTTGGAAAACCAAACAATTTGACTGCAAGGTGTGACTTGTACTGGAATGAGATCCAATTCCAACAATATAACTTCGATCGAATAAATATTGAAGTGGCTTACTTAAAGACGATATCACGGCAGCAATTACTTAATTTTTTTAAGGTAATCAATTTACTCTTATATACAAAATTATCATTTGACGTTATTTCGCAAGAAAAATATTTTATTGTAAAAATAGAGAATATAAAATAATTATTTTATGAGATATAACTGTTGAGAAAAATAACTTTAGTAGTTGAAACGTTAATATACTACTTCTACGTAATCATGTAAATCTCCTGTATATCATGTAAAATCTTCTAGGAAAATGTACATAATAAGGATCGATGTAAATTGTCGATACATGTAATATCGACGTCATTGGAAAAAAGCTCATCTGATAGCACAATTGAAGAAACTACCAATTTATCAATTGATGAAGAAGTTAAGAAAATCGATGATATTTTGTCATTTAAAAATAGTCAATCTTTGTATCCTCTAGTTAAACCGATAGAAAAATGTTTTCTCAGGAAAGGCGTACGTCCTTCTAAGTGATTAAAAATGTGACGAGATAGTGAATTAAGCGAATGAATTTATTTACGCATAATTTTAGAAAAATTTGACGCATTATTTTAGAAAAATTAATAAATCTCTTGTTGTATTTAAGATGATTCTTAAATAAACTCACACAACACCGAAAGTTTTCAGAAATATCTCACAAATAATCTTCCACAATAGACTCTCCCAAATTCAAACAAAAAAAAGAATTCAAAACCAGAGCGATTGTGTTAATTAGTAATTACGCAAAATTAATTCTCGAATCTTTATCCAATAATCTTCGAATGTATCGAGTATCTTTGGAGTTTTCTTCAGCAATAAAAGCATTAAAATTTTGTCCTTTGCATGTCTAAAGAGAAGTCACAATTAAATTTGTAGATGTTGTACATTCTGTTAAAACATTAAACTACACAGTATAAAAAATATGTATTAATAAGGAAAACTAATGACAGATGATGATTCACTTCGAACACGAAAAGGAATTGTTTTAAAACATTCGATCAAATAATAATAAGGTCTCAATTAACATTATAAATTAATTGCAAATTGGAAAGATCTTATTGAACATATGATAGGGAATCCTGCTAAAAATTCCAATTATGTCGAAAAAAGTATATACGCTCACATCAGAATAGACATAGACAAGTCAATCTTTATCTAACATAAAATTTATTCAAAATAGTATAAAATCTGGTTATATAAGCATTTCTATTTCATAGTATAGTTGGATTTTCAGATAAAAATGTTGTCTGTTTACATCTGCAATTCCAAATGCGTTAGGTATTGCAAGAAATTTGTAATATAAAGTTTACTGGTTTTTAGCAGGAAATAACATAATTCGGTTTATGTAAATATTCCTGTCTTTAAATTAGTAACAATTTCTTATGGATTTCCCAATAAAAGATGGATTTGTAATTGTATGAAGTACTCAATAAAAACAGAAAATAAACGAATTTATCTTGCATTATCTGGAATTTTAAATATGCGTCTCACAAAATATGATTTACAGACAAGAGTTGACGTGAAACTTATTTGGAACTCCAAATGTATTTTGGATATAACAGGATTTCCGGTGCAAGTAACATTTAATCAGATGTCTAAATTCATATACATGCTTGGCATTTTTAGCAGGGAATAATTGACACAATTTAAATAATAAGTATGACATGTCGGTCATTGAAGTAAATATTAAAAGAATTAGCAAATTTATATATCAATATATAAATTGCTACGAGGAATTACATGAGTCAACTAAACAAAATAAAATATATCAATAAAAGGAAGCATTCAGCTACAGCACTAGATCTTAAGCGAAAGACATATATTTAAAATTATAATATGACAATGTAGAAGTTTCGGTCAAGATTTGACCATCATATCAGTACATACAAAAATAAAGATGTCAAAAATAAAAACATAAAATTATACAATGAACAGTCAGAAAAGGTTGTGAAACAACCTTTTATTTTTAATTTGCTTATGGTACGAGATAATAAAGTAATTTGACGAAACTTGAAGTTGAACATTCCTTAATCGCTAATTATTTTCTATTACACGTAAAGTGCGCGAACTACAATGGAGGTGGCCCATACTCGTTACATCATAATGATTCTGTAATATAGAACCGTCAATTGACAATCCTCATTGGCTACCGGTGATATAAGTTGATATGAATGGCGAGTCAGAGCGGACAGCGCGTGTAGACTTCGCGTTGATCCTACTTTGCAATTCGTCAGATTCGTCTCCGTTCTCCGATGCTCCGATTGCTCCGAAGTTCGTCATGCGCGCGTTAAAATCTCGTGTGCCGCTCGTGTGCGAACAATTTTGCCTACTCTTGAAGTGTTTACGTTTCTCTGCAAAAGCGAGTTTCACTCGTCATTGTTCTACGTATACTTGACAAGAACACAGCTCCTGTTGTTCGCCGCGTCATCATATCGAATATTTACGTCGGTCATTAAATCAAAGTGGTTTGACATAATTGGCAATTCTGAGACTCCCTCGTTGGACAATTTCATGACAATATCGGGACACTGTCAGCAGTTCCGTTCAAATATCATTGTCCTCAACATGACTCCAAGTGGCTTTATCAGTTTCACTTTTCTTTTCTTTTACGAGGTAATACAAGATCTTTGTGGAACAATATTACGCTGTTTTCTCATTACGGAAGCATTGTGCGAGAGAGAGAGAGAGAGAGAGAGAGAGAGAGAGAGAGAGAGAGAGGGAGGGAGAGAGAGAGAGAGAGAGAGAGAGTATGTTTTCAAGTATATAACGTATCTGTTTCTCGATGTCATCATATAAAATTATGTATAATTTTACATGTAATTATATAAGTAGTTCTTTTACATTTCTTCTAACTTGTTTTTTTTTTAAAGAAATAATAGGAAAATTACCCTTATAATTATTTTTTATGTTTTTTTGTGATTATTATTTTTATTATTTTGTAGCGACTTTATCGCCACTACCCTAGCTGTAATTTAAATATAAACGACAGTTTTTCTTTTACGTAAAAAAATAGCACATATAAATCCCTCTCGTGAAAAATATCGAATATAGCTAAATCAGCGCGAAGACTGCTTAGTTGTTCGAGGCAGAAAAAAAGGTCAATACAGAGAGATAGACACGAGACAGTTATAACGACGAACGTAAACAACGGCAGCGAAAGCGAGAATATCAACGACGCATTATAAATCGCATTTATTTATCGAAGCATATGCCTAATAATCCGACGAAGTAGTCGAGCGCATAATCACACATGATGTAACCGGCTAGGGAAATGAGATGCAATCGCTGCATCTCGCGGAAAAACTAACCTGCTAGATC